GGGGGCAGCTGGGGGTCACTTGTGTCACCTGGGGGTCATTTTTGTCACCTGGGGGCAGCTGGGGGTCACTTGTGTCACCTGGAGGGACATGGGGGTCATTTTTGTCACCTTGTGTCACCTGGGGGGTGTGACACCTGTGGCACTTTGTGCGGTACCTGTGTCACCCGTGTCACGCCCGGGGGGTACCTGAGTGTCACCTCTGTGTCACCTGTCACCTCCCTGCGCCACTCCCGTTGTCACCTCACTGTCACCCCCATTGTCACCTTGTGTCACCCCACTGTCACCCCCATTGTGCTCCCGGGTGTCACCCTCCCACCCCCTCAGTGTCCCCTCATTGTCCCCATTGTCCCCTCAGTGTCCCCTCAGTGTCCCCTCAGTGTCCCCATTGTCCCCTCAGTGTCCCCACTGTCCCCTCAGTGTCCCCATTGTCCCCTCAGTGTCCCCATTGTCCCCTCAGTGTCCCCACTGTCCCCTCAGTGTCCCCACTGTCCCCTCAGTGTCCCCACTGTCCCCTCAGTGTCCCGGACTGGCACCTGCTGGAGGTGGAGGTGACAGCGGTGACCGATGGTGGCCGCGCCCTCAGTGTCCCCCTGTCCCCATTGTCCCCTCAGTGTCCCCTCAATGTCCCCATTGTCCCCTCAGTGTCCCCCTGTCCCCTCTGTCCCCTCAGTGTCCCCTCAATGTCCCCACTGTCCCCTCAGTGTCCCGGACTGGCACCTGCTGGAGGTGGAGGTGACAGCGGTGACCGATGGTGGCCGCGCCCTCAGTGTCCCCCTGTCCCCACTGTCCCCTCATTGTCCCCTCAATGTCCCCATTGTCCCCTCAGTGTCCCCTCAGTGTCCCCTCAGTGTCCCCAGTGTCCCCTCAGTGTCCCCATTGTCCCCTCAGTGTCCCCACTGTCCCCTCAGTGTCCCCATTGTCCCCTCAGTGTCCCCATTGTCCCCTCAGTGTCCCCACTGTCCCCTCAGTGTCCCCACTGTCCCCTCAGTGTCCCGGACTGGCACCTGCTGGAGGTGGAGGTGACAGCGGTGACCGATGGTGGCCGCGCCCTGACCGTCACCAGCAGCCGCCGCAACCCCGCGGGCCACGGCGACGTCACGGGCAGGGCCACCCTGCAGAGCTTCTGGATCAGCCTGCAGGGTGTGTCACCTGTGTCCCCTCAGTGTCCCCTCAGTGTCCCCTCAGTGTCCCCTCAGTGTCACCTGTGTCCCCTCAGCGTCCTCCCCTCCCTCACGCTGTCCCCTCCCCGCAGACTGCACCGGACACGGCGGCTGCGTCAAGTTCTGCTGAGCCGGAGCACCGGGAACCCCTCGCCTCCCCCACCTCGGGGACATTTTGGGGACATTTTGGGGACAATAAAAGCCTGCCTGGGCCCGGTGGTGGTGGCGCCCTTCTTGTCATGGCGGCGGGGAGAGGACGCGATCTGATTGGTGGAGACCTAGCGCGGGGCACGACGGGAGGAAGAGTTCTCTCCGCTGATTGGCGGAGACGGGGAGCAAAGCATTATGGGAGGAAGGTCGAGGCGCTGATTGACTAGCGCCGCGAGCGAGGCGCCACGGGAAGGAGGTCGGCGCGCTCTGATTGGTCAGCGCTGCGCGAAGCATGACGGGAATTGTAGTTGCGGCCTGAGGGGGCAGCGGCCGCCATGGCCCCGGAGGACGAGCGGGGTGAGGAGGGGGAGGCCGGGGCCGGATTTTGGGGGGTCCTGAGGGGTCCTGGGGGGGCTTGGGGCGGGCAGAAGGGGCTCGGAGGGGTTTTTTGGGGAGCAGGAGGGG